GAGATCATATCCCCCTTATCCCCCTATTATACATGGAGATCATATCCCCCCCCCTTATGTATTATACATGGAGATCATATCCCCCCCCCCCCTTATGTATTATACATGGATCATCATATCCCCCCCTTAGTAATATATACATGGTGATCATATCCCCCCCCCCCCCCTTATGTATTATACATGGAGATCATATCCCCCCTTATGTATTATACATGGAGATCATACCCCCCCCTTATGTATTATACATGGAGATCATATCCCCCCCCCTTTATGTATTATACATGGTGATCATACCCCCCCCCCCCCCTTATGTATTACACATGGAGATCATATCCCCCCTTATGTATTACACATGGAGATCATATCCCCCCCCCCCCCGTAATACACATGGAGATCATATCCCCCCCCCCTTTATGTATTATACATGGTGAGATCATATCCCCCCCCCCTTTATGTATTATACATGGTGATCATATCCCCCCCCCCCTTATGTATTATACATGGTGATCATATCCCCCCCCCCCCCTTTATGTATTATACATGTTGATCATATCCCCCCCCCCCTATGTATTATACATGTTGATCATATCCCCCCCCCCCCCCTTATGTATTATACATGGAGATCATATCCCCCCTTATGTATTATACATGGAGATCATATCCCCCCTTATGTATTATACATGGAGATCATATCCCCCCTTATGTATTTGTACATGGTGATCATATCCCCCCCTTATGTATTATACATGGTGATCATATCCCCCCTTATGTATTATACATGGAGATCATATCCCCCCTTATGTATTTATACATGGAGATCAACATATCCCCCCCCTTATGTATTATACATGGAGATCATATCCCCCCCTTATGTATTATACATATATATAAAAATGCAGCGCTTGAAAAAAGTGAATATAAAACACAGTTCAGTGAAAAAAAAGGTGCTCCGTATATCCTAGTGCAGATGGTAAGGATTTACACTAACCAGATAGCGTAAAATAATACGCATGTAATATATGTGTATCCGTGGAGTCCCCTTCTCCCCTCAGATCTGGTCAGATGATAGCCAGGAAAGGTAGATATGGTCAGATGAATAGCCAGGAAGGTAGATATCCTACGCCCTCTTGTGGTGAAACAGCAATCCAGCAGTCAGATCAAACGAAATAAACCTCCCTTCACAAGAGTTGATAAGGAAAATCCTTTGGGGCTGTGAAAGTTGAGGAAGCTCCCTCACAGGGACACAGGATAATACTCATAGTGTAGTAGGTAAGGTTTTTAATAAGTAAAGCATCAATACACAATGAACATAGGGTACAGAACAGTGTAGGTGAATACACTGACCCCCCTGGATTAAAGATGGCCGCCGGGGCCTCCTCGTGGCACCGGCGGCTTAGTGTCAACGGCGTCCTAGGTCCACCTAGTGGACCTAGGACGCCGTTGACACTAAGCCGCCGGTGCCACGAGGAGGCCCGGCGGCCATCTTTAATTCCAGGGGGTCAGTGTATTCACCTACACCTGTCTGTAACCCTATGTTCATTGTGTATTGATGCTTTACTTATTAAAAACCTTACCTACTACACTATGAGTATTATCCTGTGTCCCCTGTGAGGAGCTTCCTCAACTTTCACAGCCCCAAAGGATTTCCTTAACTCTTGTGAAGGGAGGTTTATTTCGTTTGATCTGCTGGATTGCTGTTTCACCACAAGAGGGCGTAGGATATCTACCTTCCTGGCTATTCATCTGACCATATCTACCTTTCCTGGCTATTCATCTGACCAGATCTGAGGGGAGAAGGGGACTCCACAGGATACACATATATACATGCGTATTATTTTACGCTATCTGGTTAGTGTAAATCCTTACCATCTGCACTATGGATATACGGAGCACCTTTTTTCACTGAACTGTGTTTTATATTCACTTTTTTCAAGCGCTGCATTTTTTATATATATACAATTTTTTGGGACTTTATAATGCGTTTTTCCTGTATGTTCAGCTGCTGCCAATACTGATGAGCGCTTACTGTATATTTTATTCTATATGTATTATACATGTTGATCATATCCCCCCCTTATGTATTATACATGGAGATCATATACCCCCCCTTATGTATTATACATGGAGATCATATCCCCCCTTATGTATTTATACATGGAGATCATATCCCCCCTTATGTATTATACATGGTGATCATATCCCCCTTATGTATTATACATGGAGAATCATATCCCCCCTTATGTATTATACATGGAGATCATATCCCCCCTTATGTATTATACATGGAGATCATATCCCCCCTTATGTATTATACATGGAGATCATATCCCCCCTTATGTATTATACATGGCGATTATATCCCCCTTAATCTCCTCTTCTCAAGAGAGAATAAAAAACTCAGTTCCTCTAATCTTTCCTCATTGCACATATGTACACACTTATTGTCCCGAATGGGGGTAGTGTGCCATGCACCCCTTACTCATTCACATGGGGGGAGGGGGCGCGCCTACTCTGTTTTTGTGGACAGGCCAAGAAGAATATGGAATGACAAGGAAATGCTGAAGAGTGGACTGTAATGTGCTGTGAATTTTCCCAAAAAATAAAAATCTGCATTTTTTTTTTTTGCTAGTAAAATTACTTTGAACCCCCCAAACCATTATTTCCCAAAAACGGTGCAGGCAGATTTTGGGAAAGTGTCTCTCATGCAGTGTAAAAGTGGTAAAGATCGCACCAGATTCATGTACCTGTCTAGAACCTATACTTGAAAATTGGCTCTCATTGCGCCACTTTGCAAGTGAGACACTTTTCACAAAATCTATCTTTGCCAGTTTTTCTCTGTATGTCTAAAGAGTTGGTCCAAGTTAGCTTGACTTTTACATTTGGAGCATTTAGTGCGACGCACAATATAAACGGGGCGCATTTTTGAACTACCTGAATTTTGATGTACAAATTGCTGTCAGAGACAAATGTGTGACAAATGCTTTAATGAATTTGGCTCAATACATAACAAGGGATTAAACGCTAGAAAAGTGGCACAGCAGCTTTATGTGACTCCCCCCTATATATTTTCTGAAACAGAGGCCCTGGAGAATAAAAATATGGTGGCAGCTGCAATTTTTTATTTTGCACAATATTTGTGCATCCGCTTATCAAATGCATATTTTCAAGAAAAAATTACACTAAAATGAATTTTAGTGCACAAAAAACACAGTAGAATACCCAATATTTTGGTAAAATATAAAAAAAGATGTTGCAAGAAATTAGATACTAAACATGCCAAGCCTTAAAATTGCACTGGTCTCTGAAATGGCCAAAAACTACGATACCTAAATGTTTTCACAGGCGATGCTTTAAAAGGTTATCAGTTTAGAGTTAAAGTGTTACTAAACCCACAACAGTACAATCAGTCTGTATATGCAGTAAAGCATGCTTGTTACACTCACTGTGGGACCTAAGGGATTAATCCTCTGCATTGTGTAAAAACGTGGTGTGATCCTGACTTCTCTGATCCTCCCCTTCTGCCAGTGTCCCCCCTCTTATCTACTGATAAAACGTATTGTGTGGAGTCACTCTGCACATGCTCAGTTTGGTGTGTATTGCTAGAGAGGGTTTTTTTTTTTTAGCTTGGGAGAGTGCATGTGATCAGCACAGGGCTAATTAGCACTGTCCAGACAGTGGTAAGGGGTTCTGCATCCTCCTAGAGCAAAAAATAAAAACTCTTCCTACAAGCTTTAACGTGTGCTCTGCTGGACACTGATAGAAGTCACAAAACTGCTCTAACTGCTGGTGAGAAAAGGTGTTTAGTAGTTTATATATTTACTAAAATATTTGCATTTCCATGTTCTGTATACTGTGGGAGACCAGATATAGTGAATGCAGGGTCCGTGGGGAGACCAGATATAGTGAATGCAGGGTCCGGGGGAGACCAGATATAGTGAATGCAGGGTCCGTGGGGAGGAGACCAGATATAGTGAATGCAGGGTCCGTGGGGAGACCAGATATAGTGAATGAAGGGTCCGTGGGGGAGACCAGATATAGTGAATGAAGGGGTCCGTGGGGAGACCAGATATAGTGAATGCAGGGTCCATGGGGAGACCAGATATATGTAAATGAAGGGTCCGGGGAGACCAGATATAGTGAATGCAGGGTCCGTGGGGAGACCAGATATAGTGAATGAAGGGTCCGTGGGGAGACCAGATATAGTGAATGAAGGGTCCGTGGGGAGACCAGATATAGTGAATGAAGGGTCCGTGGGGAGACCAGATATAGTGAATGAAGGGTCCGTGGGGAGAGGACCAGATATAGTGAATGAAGGGTCCGTGGGGGAGACCAGATATAGTGAATGCAGGATCCGGGGAGACCAGATATAGTGAATGCAGGGTCTGTGGAGACCAGATATAGTGAATGCAGGGTCCGGGGGAGACCAGATATAGTGAATGCAGGGTCCGGGGAGACCAGATATAGTGAATGCAGGGTCGGGGGAGACCAGATATAGTGAATGCAGGGTCCGGGGAGACCAGATATAGTGAATGCAGGGTCTGTGGAGACCAGATTATAGTGAATGCAGGGTCCGGGGAGGACCAGATATAGGGAATGCAGGGTCCTGGATTTAGTATCACTTTTAACAATAAATTGTGGCCCTAAAATTATTGCTGACTTTGACTTGTGAGGCACAATCACTGTTTACATGCACAGGACCCATATAAACAGAAAAATAAACCATGTGATGTGCTGAAACACGAACTTCACTAGCAGCATACTTGTTCCAGGATAGAATTGAAGGAAAGTTTAATGGAATTCAATCTTTCCAGAAAGACCAGCACTGGCCACCTGTAACATTTCTCTAGTTACACGTGTACCTAAAGATGCCTTTTTTTGTGATGAGCTTCAGACAGACATTTAGAAAAGCAGCTTCAAGCTACACCCTACAATCTGAGTAATGACAGTACGATGCTGCCATCCACAGGATATGTGAGATATTACAAGTTCTGATACCTTACCGGGAATCATTTTGATGGCTGTATTAACTGTATTCCAATCCTGAACTTGATCAAACTTCCAGTCTAGAAGAAAATTCCCATTGTCTGTAACCACAGGTCCCTGAATCATTGGGAAAAGAATATAACAAATCAGTAAAAATCTAGAAGGGATAGAAAGAGCTGTAACTATGGATTTATTTAGTGCCTACATAATACACAACTCCTTAGGCCTCATGCACACTGCTGCTCCTGAACGGACATTTTTGGAGCTTTTGGTGTGTTTTTTTGCCCAAGTCCCTAAACTCAATAAAAGCCTACGGGGGAGATTTACTAAAACTGGTGCACACAGAATCTGGTGCAGCTGTGCACAGTAGCCAATCAGCTTCCAGGTTTTATGGTCAAATCTTAACTGAACAAGCAGAAGTTAGAAGCCGATTGGTCACTAAGCACAGCTGCACCAGTTTTAGTAAATCTCCCCCTCGAGTTTAGTGGCAGTAAAATGCTCCTTTACTGAAGGCAGAAGAAATGCATTCAAGATGAGCATTTTGGCAGAAAAATGCCAAACACAGGAAAAAACACATGTAAACGCCTCTAAAACACCCACATTAATACTTGGCGTGTGCCTGGAGACAGGCAGTTATTCTAGGAGAGCATGTGTCGTCCAGGCCGCGTGAGCCTACTCTGTCAATCCAGCGTGGGTCCACTCTGTCAATCTAGCATTGGCCCGCTCTGTCATCCAGTGTAAGTCACACTGGATGACATAGAGCGGGCTCTCGCTAGATTGACAGAGCGGGGTCACCATAGGTGAGTGCAGGGGGTGTGCTTGGGTTCACCCCCATCTCTGCAACCATCTGTGCCATGGAACTGGCAAGGACTGCCTTTTAGTTTCTCCCCCAGCTGCTCTGTCCCTCTAATGCCGGTACACAGCGTTCTGAGGTTTGCAGACTCAGAGTCAGCCATGCAGTATCTTCCTGTGCATCGGGCTGAGGAGGTGGTGGCTGTACTCTCTCTCTCCTACGCATGCACAGGTGGCTCCTCACCGCACTCTGCCCGCCCACTGGCCGTCCTCACCGCACTCTGCCCGCCTACTGGCCGTCCTCACCGCACACTGTTCATTAGTCGTCCTCACCGCACACTGCCCACTTACTGGTCATCCTCACCGTACACCGCTCATTGACTGGCCCCAGGCACCGACAACCCATTGTACAGCACTGGGCCAGGCTATATCCACTACACTAACTGCATTTGCAAATATTAAGCATACAATAGGTACTTTTCTCAAAAAACTTAGTGACAAAATTTTACAAAGATCACAAGGGAGGCTACATTTCATTTAACAAATTAAATAAAAGTGTGTGTGTGACCTCTACACTTGCAATCCTGAAACAGATTTGTAAAGGTCTACTCAGATCTACTAATAACAATGGTCACAGACCACTCGAATTTGGACAGATTACTGATCAATCAGCTGAAATTCAAGATGTAGACCCTGTGAATATCACCCGGCTCAACAAATTCAAATTAAAAAAAAAATCAGCTGAGTTGGCTGAAAAAGTTTTCAGCCAATCAATGACAGCGTCCTATCAGATTCAATCCTTGTTCCGAGGGCACCAGCACCATTTCTACTCAAACACAATGAAGACCCCCTCCATTCATGAAGTTAGATGAGAAAATCAAGTGACTTGTTTCTCTGTTTCTAGGAGGCTGAACAGCCAACATTTGAGCCGTCTGCACCGCCTTGGACAGATTTTTGATCATAGATGAAATAAAATGATCACTCTAAAACACACACGATTAGGAAGTGGCCAGGGACAAGCCTCTAATAATACAGGTACAGAAATGTTAAGGGTAAGATAATTGGATGGAAAATGGTGCGGATTGCCTGCAACTGTAGCCATCAATGCAGCAAGTACAACTAAAACTACAAAAACTGGAGCAAAAGCACCATCTACAGGCCATTATTGGGAAGTGCGTTACATTTTTAGGTGTATTAGAGTTATGCACACTTTTGTCTTTTTTTAGTTATTAAAAGTAGGAAGAGTTTTAGTAATCCAATTTATTTACATTATGTATTGTTGCTGTTTATCAGGGAAAGTGGTTTAAAAAAAAAAAAAAAAAAAAAAAAAAAAAAAAAAAAAAAAAAAGGATCACACAGGGTGTCCCATTTTACCAAACAGACAAACCTGTAGAGAGGAAATGTAGGGCCACCTTTTACAATAAAAATAAACAAAAAAAAAAAAAAAAAATACAAATGCACATAACAGAAAAAACATATTTTTTTAAATTAGGCTGTTTTCACACTGATCCATTTTTCTCATGTTTTTGCAGTAAAAAAAAAAAAAAAAAAAAAAAATGCATGACCATGAAATCCTATGAAAAACTCTTCACAATGATCAGTTGTAGGTCCACTGTGTTTTGTAAAATCCTGCTTGCTGCATCTCTGGCCCATGTTTGTTTTGCTTTTCTTTTTTTTTTTTACTGCACTAAACAAAAAGCACCCCCTGCCCCCATGAAATGAATGGTAAAAAAAAGCATCAAAAATGCACCCACGGTTGCGTTTTTGTGTGAGCTTGAATCACATGTCCTTTTTTTTCACTGGAAATGCAGATAAAAATGCATATGAGGTTTTCCCACATTTTGCACCAGAGCAGTGTGAAAGCAGCCTCGGCCTGCAATGCATTGTAACTGCGATCAGTGGATGGAATGTCAGACTCTTCCTCCAGCTCTATGTCTGCACTGAGGAATTGTCAATGGACTGAGTGTGTAATGATCACCACACTCGTGTTCCATGGTGCCAGACAGAACTTGTCTCCGGGGAAGAAGAACCCTCACATGCCGCCACAGGTTTAGGGGTGCTAGGGGTGGGGAGGGGGCATTTGCACCATGTTAAACTCTAAATAGGTATGTAACATGGTGCAAATGGTGGAGTTAGTCTTTAAGACACATTCAGTTTTAAAATGTAATCTTTGTAGTTTTTTCTTTCAAGCAATTTATGGGGAAATAAGCTATTCCAATATGACAATTACGGTTAACAGTCTCCTGTAATGTGCTCCCCTATACAGCAGTCCTTTAATCTCCAAAAAACCCCAGACTGCCCTGTACCCCAATTACCAGCCACTCTCACTAACCCCATCCTCTTCCACTGCTTTCTTACTTACAAATATATCAAATCTGTGCTGTATGTACTAAACATATAAGGTGTGGGCACCAATGTTGTAAAGTTTGAGATTTTGAGGGACAGTAAAGGCCTCATTCACATTGGCATGCCATAGCATACACCTGTGCAAAAGGGGTTGTCTTCACCCGCATGGGATTCACAAGTCTTTCGTGCAGACCTGTGCTAGCAGCCTGGTCAAATCAATAGCAGAAGACCAGCTGCAAAGACCTGCATAGATCTGCACACAGATCCCAGAGAGTACATCCATGCAGGTCAGATGAATAGAGCAGAACACAGTCTGGGTCTTGATTTCTGCATCAGATCCCCATGGATGTACACTCCGGGATCCAGTGTGCAGATTTTCTCTGTGCAGTTAACCGTCAGCCATTGATTTGACCAGGCTGCCTGCACAGGTCTGTATAGAACACATGTGCATCTAACGTGGGTAAAGACGAACCCCTTTTGCACATGTGTACAGGTCGGTATGCCCTGGAGGCCTAAATGCCGGTTTAGAAATCTCTTAAAACAGAGTTCAAAAGTGTTACTAAACCTCAACCCCGCATTCACTGTATCCGGTCTGCCTGGACCCCGCATTCACTGTATCTCTGCCCGGACCCCGCATTCACTGTATCCGGTCTGCCCGGACCCCGCATTCACTGTATCCGGTCTGCCCGGACCCCGCATTCACTGTATCCGGTCTGCCCGGACCCCGCATTCACTGTAAACCCCGCATTCACTGTATCCGGTCTGCCCGGACCCCGCATTCACTGTATCCGGTCTGCCCGGACCCCGCATTCACTGTATCCGGTCTGCCCCGACCCCGCATTCACTGTATCCGGTCTGCCCGGGCCACCCCGCATTCTGTATCCGGTCTGCCCGGACCCCGCATTCACTGTATCCGGTCTGCCCGGACCCTGCATTCACTGTATCCGGTCCGCCCGGACCCCACATTCACTGTATCCGGTCTGCCCGGACCCTACATTCACTGTATCCAGTCTCATCGGACCCTGCATTCACTTTATCTGGTCTCCCCGGACCCTGCATTCACTTTATCTGGTCTCCCAAAGTACACAGAACATGGAAATGCAGTTAGTAATTATATAAACTGCTAAATACCTTTTCTCATCAGCAGTGTATATAGCAGTCTTGGGACTTCTATCAGTGTCCAGCAGAGCACTGGTTAGAGCTTGTAGGAGGAGTTTTCATTCTCCTCTGACTGTCCTATGAGGCTGAAGGGCCCTGACCCTCTGTCTGGACAGTGCTGATTGGCCCTGTGCCAACATGCACTCTCCCAAAAAAAAAAAAAAAAACACTCTAAGCAATACACACAAAACTGAGCATGTGCAGAGAGACTCCTAGAGCTCTGTACTATCATACTATCAGCAGATGGATTGGGGACAGCAGAATAAAAAGGAGGATCAGAGAAGTCAGGATTAAAAATCCTTTTGACACAATACGGAGGATTAACCCCTTAGGTTCCACAGTGAGTATACAACAAGCATGCTTTACTGCATATACAGACTGATTTTACTGTTGTGGGTTTAGTAACACTTAATTAGAAGCCCATGATGTATTATGTCTAGAATATTTATTATTACTTACAGCCTTACTAACAGCCATCCTCAACTCCACCACACCACCGAACTGCTGCTGGATTGCTTTGCTCACTGGAACGTAAGCCATAGGAAGAACTTCTATGGGAATACCTTTCTTCCACTGATCTCCAAAATTCTTTGAGTCTTTCCTGTTTAAATAGAAGCGCAAAAAAAAAAAAAAATATATATATATATATATATATATATATATATATATATATATATATATATAAAAAAACCAAAAACACAATGGCAAGCAGGGTTCAAAACAGAAAAAAAAAAAAAAAAAAAAAAAAAAAAAAAAAAAAAAAAAACAAAAAAAAAAAGCGGACTGACAACTCATGGGGCCCCCGGGCAATAGGGAATCATGGGGCCCCTGTGTCCTTGCCCACACTTAAAAAAAAAACCTATGAAAGGTACCAGGGACATCTCATGGGGCCCCTTCTGACCCCAGGTCCTTGGGCAGTGCCCGAGTTCCCAAATGGTCAGTCCCACCCTTCTTTGGTTTGTGCAAAAGCAACAAAATGTACACACCTTCATTTTGCATATTCAATCTGCACAATCAGACAATCTGTTCCCAAGCTCTGGAGCAAATGCACAGTCTATTTGGCTTTGGTAAATCCACCCCATTTTGTGTATACACACACACACACTAGATTATATATTAAAATCTACATAAAAAAAATAAAACCAAACACATGCTATATCATATAAAAAAATGTTTTATATACAGTTGTGCTCGAAGTTTGCATACCCTGGCAGAAATTGTGAAATTTTGGCATTGATATTGAAAATATGACTGATCATGCCAAAAAATGCTCTTTTACATTGAAAGATGATGATCATATGAAGCCATTTATTATCACATAGTTGTTTGGCTCATTTTTAAATCATAACAGAAATCCCCCAAATGGCCCGGATCAAAAGTTTCCATCCCCTGGAATGTTTGGCCTTGGTACAGACACACAAGGTGAAAAACACAAGTTAAAATGCCAATTAGAGGTTAATGTCCCACATCTGTGGCTTTTTAAATTGCAATTAGTCTAAGTGTATAAATAGTCAATGCGTTTGTTAGCTCTTACGTGGAAGAACTTACTAGGCTAGATACTGAGCCATGGGGATCAGAAAAGAACTGTCAAAAGTCATGCGTAACAAGGTAATGGAACTTTTATAACGATGGAAAAGGACATAAAAAGATGTCCAAAGCCTTGAATATGCCAATCAGTACTGTTAAATCACCTATGAAGAAATGGAAAGTTCGGGATCTCTTGATACTAAGCCAAGGTCAGGTAGACCAAGAAAGATTGCAGCCATAACTGACAGAAGAATTGTCCGGGATTCAAAGAAAAACCCACAGGCAACCTCAAAAGAAATACAGGCTACTCTGGAAAAAGACAGTGTGGTTGTTTTTAAGAATATGCAAACTTTTGAGCACAACTGTACATAAAAAATATTTTACACACGCTATAATTGTATATAAAAATAGGTGAATAACACACACAACACACACACACACGTTTCCTTAGATTTTGCACTGGGATATCTTTAAGGAAACCCGTAGTGATAATGCAATCCAAGCATCAAACATGTCTCTGGTCCCATTCAGTCAGCCTGCAAGATATAAATAAAATATGGGTACCGTACCTATAATCTGCGATAACAATGAAGGACTTTGCACAACCAGCGACTATTTTTTCTTGTGCCAAACATCCCCTAAAAGTTAACAAGCAAAAAGTAAAATCCATTAGAAGCAGCAATCTGTTGTGGCTGATATGGAAAATAGAAGTTCAATCTGATTTTTGGTTTTTTAAACTACAAGCAGATTATTATCACCTGATTCTGTGCTGTGCAACCTCCCTCTTGTTCACCGACGTAGATAGATTTAAAAAAAAAAAAAAAAAAAAAAAAAAAAAAAAAAAAAAAAAAAAAATCGGCTGATTTTCGGATCATTAGTGCAGTAATCGGTCAGCCGCTTTTTCGTGATTTTTGACATTTTAGATTATCGGTCCTGCTGGAAAATAATCAGCCAAATTTGTCGTTCTGCCAATTTTTGCGGCAATGATGGACAAATTTTGCCGATCTTTTTCCGATATTTAAAAATGCGCATGAGCAGTGACATGAAAGAAGAAGAAAAAAAAAAGGAAAAAAAAAAGAATATGAAAAGAAGAAATAGAATTATGAAGAAGAAGAAGAAAAAAAAAAAAAAAAAAAAATTTCAGTCCGATATTATATTTGACATTTAAAAGTATAGCAACATTGTATCTATTTGTATCCGAATAGAAACATCTGTATCCAAAATGGATACAAATAGATACAATGTTGCAACTTTTTCTTCTTCTGCATATTCTATTTCTTCTTTTTATTCGTATTCTATTTCTTCTTCTTCATATTCTATTTCTTCTTCTTCTGCATATATTCTATATAATAGCCGTCCATAGACGGGACGAAAATCAGTCGACTTTTTTTTTTTTTACAATAGTGGTAATGTCGGCTGATTGAATGACCAATTTTTCGTTTTTCAAAAAAAAAAAAAAAAAAAAAAAACGTCCGGTTTTCTCCCCGTCTATGGCCTGCATAACAACCACTGTCTGCAGCTGTCAAAATACAATGGCCCTGCAGGGGATTCATCCATCTGTGCTGTAAAGCATAGATGGAGGAATCTGATTGGTTTTCAGAATGAGGTTATTGTTCAGGGCCAGAGAACGCAGCAGTCTTTTTTTTTTTTATTATTATTTATTTTATTTATTTTTTTTTTTTAACAGGCTCAGATACCAGGTCATTCTTCGACAAGGATACTGGCAAATGGCTTTGGCTTGGTTTCCACTGTCTACCTAGAAGAGGATGTGCCAATGCACAGGCATGTTCGATCGTCGTCACCTTTATGCCTTGCTCACTCGACCATCTTGTAGAAAACCTTTTGGCGAGCTTTGTTGAATCCTTTAGATTTTACAGGAGTGCCGATTGTCACTACTAGCTAACTACTTGTTGAAAAGCCTTCTAAGCCTTCTACCAGGTTATCTAAACTATATTTACATTCTTGCAGCCAGATTGGAACAACACCTACTTTATACTTGATATATTTTTATAAGTTCCCATTCACATAGCAGGGCTTAACAAAAGATTTTTAAAATTGCTACTGATCTTTTTACTAGCTTAAACATCCTACAACGTGCTTAGCTTTCCTCATATACGCATTGTAAGGCAGCGGAGGGGGATTTTTGTGTACCATAATTAACCCCATCTGTACTGACCTGGCAGTTCTCATTCTCAGTAGTAAACTAGATGTGCACCTGTCCTATTAAAAGAGGAACTTCCCCCTCCCCCCAGCCTGTAATTGAGTTATATTTGGGGGTTTTTTGGGGGGGGGGGGGGGGGGGGGGGGGGGGGGGTGGAGTAACCACCACTTCCACCTTCCGCAATCCTTCCCTTGCCCCACCCCCTCCTAGGACACATCACATGTTCCAGGGGGATGCAGGACCATTCATAAAGTCCTGTGCATTCAAACTGGAGAGCCGGTTGTTATTCTTCAGGAAGCCATAGCTAGCTCCTGTATCCAAGTCAGCAATGCTGGGGACCCGCAGAGGTAAGAAGAACTGGCAGCAGAAAGTATATCTGCCACAGGGAAAAATTAAGAGGGTAGACAGGGAAGTCAGTTTGTTGCTGGGAAATCAGCTGGTGTCAGTCTTAGGCCTGTTAACATCCTTTATTCCAGTGGTACAGTGAGCAGAGGGCAGGCACTGGGAAGTCCCTGATTCCAGTGCTACAGTGGGCAGGCACTGGGAAGCCCTGATTCCAGTGCTACAGTGGGCAGGGACTGGGAAGTCCCTGATTCCAGTGCTACAGTGGGCAGGGACTGGGAAGCACCCGCTTCCAGTGCTACAGTGGGCAGGGACTGGGAAGCACCCCGCTTCCAGTGGTACACTGGGCAGGCACTGCGAAGTACCTGATTCCAGTGGTACATTGGGCAGTAGACTGGGGGTACCCGATTCCAGTGGTACAGTGGGCACTGCACTGCAAGTACCCGATTCCAGTGGTGCAGTGGGCAGGTACTGCGAAGTACCTGATTCCAGTGGTACATGGACTGGGGGCAGGCACTGCGAAGTACCTGATTCCAGTGGTATAGTGGACAGGGGGAAGGCACTGCGAGTACCTGATTCCAGTGGTACAGTGGACAGGGGGCAGGCACTGGGAAGCACCTGATTTAAAGAAGTCAGCAGCTACCATTTCTGAGATCATTCAGAATTCATTGACAGGTACAACTGACCTGTTTTAGCTGGTTTTGCATTTCCATAGACATGTTAACAGAAAGAGTTCATGATGTGAATGAATCAAAGTCTGCACTATGAAGTTCACCAAAGGCTTCATTCAGTTTGCATGAAAAAAAAAAAATAGGGTGTTTTGAAATGCACAAAAACACATACAGAAATTATACTGGTATTAAAGCATTTACATGGATAGGGAATGGACCACAGCTTTGTTTAATGCCCGGGGATTCCTACTGTCAAACTGTGACAACCTTTTTCATTGAAATTAAACATATCTATTAAAATTTATCTTAGATCATTAAAAACTCCATAAATGTAATAAAAAACAGTACACCTTACCCTCCACCTTTGATGAGATTGAGATCTGAATCAACTTCATCAGCTCCATCAATAGCGACATCAAGCTGTCAGAAGACAACAGGACAGCAATAATTTATACATAGTAAATAATTGTACATACAGCCATTTTTATCCATGTGCCTTCTTTTAAAAAAAAAAAAAAAAAAAAAAAAGAAAAGAAAGAAGAGAGCGAACACATAGGTCCTGTTAAAGAGTATAATGTATTGCTAGTGACTACATACTGGAGTGCACTTATAAGATTCTGCATAGCAATTTACTCAGTGAAAAACGCATGTACGGGGCTGGGAAAAAAAAAACCCACATACATACATACATACAACAATTACATTCATACACACTGAAATCTCTGTATATCTCTTGACAATGTATTCTGATCATTCAGGTCATCTTGGTAACAAAAAAAATAATCTCAATAAGTGTTTATCATGTGTTTTGTGTGAAAGTTACTAGAATTTAACTATGAACGTTATACTGAAATGGTGGAACCAGTGAATTATAGTGGGAGTGATGGTGACAGACAATCTGGAGCTTTATTCAGACCCCTGGGAGGTACACTAACAAACGTCAATAGTGACCCTAATACAGTAATCAGATTACAGTTAGGTCCAAAATATTGGGAATCGATGACAATTCTAACATTTGTGGCTCTATACACCACCACAACGGGTATTTGAAATTAAATGAACAAATGCCTCTAACTTCAGTCACTTCAGGCTTTAATTTGCAACTGCTATTTTACATCCAAATCAGGTGAACGGTGTAGGAATTACAACAGTTTGCATATGTGCCTCCCACTTGTTATGGGACCAAAAGTAATGGGACAATTGGGTATCAGCTTGGGATCCATGGCCAGATGTTGTTTATTCCCTCATTATCCCAATTACAATGAGCAGTAAAAGGTCCAGAGTTCATTTCAAGTGTGTTATTTGCAATAATCTCTTGCCGTCAACTGAAGATGAGATCCAAAGAGTGTCCACTATCAGAGAAGAAGCCCCATTAGGCTGAAAAAGCAAAACAAACCCAAACAAACCCTCCATCAGAACAGATAGGCAAGGTGTTCATTTTCAGGCATAGGCCAAAACAACTGTTTGGAACATTCTTAAAAAGATAGGAACGAACGGTGAGCTCATGCAACCCAAAAGTTCTAATTTTGGAAGACCACAGAAAATCCCACAACTGTTGTGGTTGACTGAAGAATTCTTTCCCTGGTGAAGAAAACACCCTTCACAATAGTTGGCCAGGATCAAGAACACTCTCCAGGAGGTAGGTGTATGTGTGTCAAAGTCAATACATTAGAGAAGACTTCACCAGAGTGAATAGAGAGGGCTCACCACAAGATGTAAACCATGTGAGCCTCAAAAACAGGAAGGCCAGATTAGAGTTTGCCAAACGACATCTAAAAAAGCCTTCACAGTTCTGGAACAACATCCTATGGACACGATGAGACCAAGATCAACTTGTACCAGAGTGATGGTAGCGAAGAGTATGGAGAAGGAAAGGAACTGCTCATGATCCTACGCATACCACCTCATCAGTGAAGCATGCCCTTTGCCTTGTCATTTGCGAATGATGCATGTAAGGCTGCCAATGGTATGGTTAACTCTTGTATTTATTGATGCCATGTGCCTGCTGTGAAAAGCAATCAGGATGAATTCTGAAGTGTTTCGGGACCATATTTGCTGCTCATATTCACACCAAAATGCTTCTAGAACTCATTGGACGCCACTTCACAGTGCAGATGGTGCAATGACCCAAAGCATACTGCAAAAGCAACCAAAGAGTTTTTTTGATGGAAAGGGAAAGAGTGGTAGTGGAATTGTTATGCAATGGCCAAGTCAATCACCTGACCTGAATCCGATACTGAGCATGCATTTCACTTGCTGAAGGCAAAACTGAAGGGAAAATGCCCCAAGAACAAGCAGGAACTGAAGACAGTTGCAAATGTAGAGGCCTGGCAGAGCATCACCAGGGATGAAACCCAGTGTCTGGTGATGTCTATGCGTTCCAGACTTCAGGCTGTACATTGACTGCAAAGGATTTACAACCAAGTATTAAAAACACAAAGTTTGATTTATGATTATGTATTCTGTCCCATTACTTTTGGTCCCTGGTAACAAGTGGGAGGCACATAATCCAAAACTGTTGTAATTTTGTGTACACCGTTCACTGATTTGAGTGTAAATACCCTCAAATGGTGGAAACGTGACTGACAGTCTGCAGTTAAAGCACATCTTGTTAGTTTCATTTCAAATCCATTGTGGTGGTGTACAGAGCCAAAAAATGTTAGAATTGTGTCGAATCCCAATATTTATGGACCTGACTGTAATTCTATACATTATCACTGGACTAATGGCAATGGCTGGAAAGGGGTCATCATCAAGGGGTTAACTCTGTGACTAAAAAGCATGATGTGTTTAATATATGCTGCTTTTATCAAGGAGATCAGTTTGTTTTTCTACCTGCTTTGCAGGGAGAAGAAACAGTCAGATCGCTGATCTGTGTACAGAGTGTTTGTAAACACAGGACTCTGCTGTAATTATATCAGCGGGTCTCAACCATACATCATTGGTTAACACATCATTGGCTGCCAAAATTGCATGGGACCAACCACAGAACGAGTAAGCAGGGGGCATGCACACATGCACCCAAAACCCAGAATGGGAATGAGCTGAAAATGTACATTGTACTGTTTTTTGCATCTCAGTCAATGCAGATATAATAAAAAAAAAAAAAAATTGCTGAGACACTAGATTATTTTTTCCCCAAAAAGAAAAAACATCCTTTAAAAAGTAGAACTTTAGGCAAAACTTTTTTGTTCGTATTGGATAGAGCATGGGAGGGTTATAATCCCTGGCAATTTTTTTCGCCACCTGTGTCCTATTTCCGGGACTTACTAACCAAGCAAAAACCTAGTGCGCTTCTAACTTCCGCGAGTGAGAACACATTCACCATAGGTTATTAAAATAAAAGGGAGAAGGAGGTGTTCAGCCATGCTAACACACTTCTAGTTCTAGGGTGACAACACTGTTCTGCAAAGATACAGTAGAGTGAACGAGAATGTCACCCTTGTACGGGAAGAGTGTCTCTGGCATATTCACCCAGAGAAAATAAAGAAGAAACCAACCCTAAAAAAAAAAAAAAAAAAAAAAAATATGTGGTTATGTTATATTTTTGTTCTTGAGTTTAGTTACACTTTAACTAAGTTTAATTCCATAATTATGAACTATTGGTGAGAAGTGTGGTACGTCCTTTAAGCCTATGGTTGACAACAGCCAATACCATCCAGCAGCTGTAATGTACAGTTGTTTTTACCTCTGGGTGTCTCTCCAGATCGGTCAGAGTTAATCCATTCTGAAGGATCAGCTGACGTGCCTGCAAATAAAAAAAAAAAAAAAAATAATAATAAATCTTTATTTTCTATACCAGCGTACTGTATATAACACGGGAGAAACACATGACTGGTGTACACAGATCACATGAACATTGAACGGTCCGTATCAAAAGAGGATTCACAAATACCAGTTGTACGTATAGACATCTATTTCCGGAAACCTGTACTAATAGGAATATGACTGCCAGTCACCTGGGCCATCACTGGCTTGGACTTTCCTTGTCATTTACCTGCAAAAAGCATGCGGACTAGAGTCAGAACTCTTGGTCTTTAAATTTCTTTTGGGAAAAGTGCCATTAGATCAGCAAATCAGACCAACAAGAGAGTATTTTCAGAAAAAAAAAAAAAAAAAAATGTCATTAATGGCAGCAAACATCCCTCAATACATCCTTTAAAAGTAGAACTTTAGGCAAAACTTTTTTGTTCGTATTGGATAGAGCTTGGGAGGGTTATAATCCCTGTAAATTTTTTTCACCTTTTCACCACTTGTGTCCCTATTTCAATATTTCTCTTCACCTCCTCTCCCATAGTCAAAGTGCGTGGAAATGCATGCAAATTGAGGGAATCCCTTGGCATAAAAACTGACAGGGGTTCTAATTCAACTGCACTCTATCAATCAATAATAATAATAATAATAATAATAATAATAAGATGCCTTTATACTTTAAGGCTCATGCATAGGGGCACAAAATACACTGCGTTCAGATCCACAATGTGTACATTTTATTTTTTACCCAGATCACAACACCGTTGTAATAATTTCTATGGGATGCCTGCGTCCTAGCAGCCATGGAGACTAGTCAGCAGGAGCCGCCTGCATCCTAGCAGTCGGGGACGCTAGTTGGCAGAAGCCACCTCTGTTCTAGCAACCAAGAATGCAAGAGATGTACGTATGTAAACAAAGGACAAACGATGCCGCATACAACCACAATTCTGCATAGGATTTTGTTGCCAGCAAGATATTAGGTAAAGTTTCACAACCCATGTGCATCAGCCCTTATAGGTGAACCCTAGGCTAATAGCTAAATACACAAAATTAAATCCCTATAAATACCTAAACTGTTTTATTAACATCTACAAATATATGTTGCGCTCCTAAATACTTCTCAATAAATAATAATTAAATTATTACCATTAAATTAATTCAAATTATGATACAAATAACTAATAAAAGTGTATAAATACCAAAAAATATTTAAATAGATAATTTCAACTAATCAATCTCCTCCAAATAAATATCAAAATAATTCCACATGAAATACTCCTCTAAAAAAATATTTTACCAAGTGCTCATAAATCATCTATTAGTGACATGATGTACTTACGAATACCCTCAATTTCATTTATATTCATAATACCCTCATTTAATATAGTAAAAAATAATAAACCAACTAATAACCCTCAACTAAAACGCATTTAAATGATCCCCCATAAATAAAAATGTGATCATCACAACCCCCTGATGAAGCCACGTGATTGGAGGCGTAACGCGTAGGGGAGGGGCTACGTCATCACTCGGAGAGGAGCCGCACAACACGATAGACGGCAGGTGTATGACTCAGAGGCCAGCAGAGGATTTCCAATGGGATATTGCGTTATTTAAACCTGTCTAATGTGAGTTTAATCCTTGGATGGTGGGAATAAAAAGTTTTAAAAAGGTAAAGCACTATGTCCTCTATTTCTTCCTGCATGCGGAGTAACACAAGGAGAGGATAATTAGGAGGTCTGAGATAACAAAAGGAGTGTGTAATCCCTGAGGGGATAATCAGCCACCAGAGGATACATCCATTACTCCTAAAGGAAGGATCTCCCAATTTTACCAGCAAAAGTATATGTCTAGCAGGTTCCAGGGAAAGTGAACCGAAAGCGTGTATAGCCTAATTGCAGGCATCAAAAGGAGGGGAGCGCACATCTTCACTATTTGAAGGATTCACAAAATTGAAGAACAACAAGCACCAAGTCACTATATATAAACAATTGTTTATTCAATGGGACTATTATTTTGATGATATTTGGATTCATACTAATCACTACTAATTATTTATGAGCATTTGGTTATTTTTATTTTTATGGGGGATTATTTAAATGCGTTTTAGTTGAGGGTTATTAGTTGGTTTATTATATTAAATGAGGGTATTATGAATATAAATGAAACTGAGGGTATTAGTAAGTACATCATGTCACGAATAGATGATTTATGAGCACTTAGTAAAATATTTTTTTAGAGGAGTATTTCATGTGGAATTATTTTGATATTTATTTAGAGGAGATTGATTAGTTGAAATTATCTATTTAAATATTTTTTGGTATTTATACACTTTTATTAGTTATTTGTATCATAATTTTAATTAATTTAATGGTAATAATTTAATTATTATTTATTGAGAAGTATTTAGGAGCGCAACATAGATTTGTAGATATTTCCAACACAGTTGTAGTTATGTGTTTCATGTTTGCGATCCTCTAGTAATTATCACACCTGTGGCTCGCAAGTCACTCTGATTCATCTATACCTGTTTTATTAACATCTCCTTATATTTGAATTCAATTTGTTGATCATCATATTATTTTACAACGTGGTAATTACAGCAGGAGCCGCCTGCATCCTGGCAACCTGGGAAATTTGTCGTCAGGAGCCACCTGTGTCCTAGTGCTGTACGCACGTAGATGTAGCACAAACATAACAGTGTACAACCAAAATTTTTATGTGGAATTCTGCTGCCACCAAGATACTAGAAAAAGTAATAAAACCTGTGTGCATAGGCCCTTAAAAAGGTGAACTCTACGCAAACAGCTAAGTACGCAAACAAAATCAGTTTAAATAAATAAATACAGGAGTACCTCGGTTCACGAACGCCCCGATTAAGGTAATTTTCAGTTTACGAATGAAAATCCATTGAAAATAATGGCTCGGTTTACAAATGTTTTTTCGCAATACGAACAGATTAATTGGTTTTCATTGCATTTACAAATTTTTTTTTAATCATGTCCCTGTATAGTACTATGCCTTTAAAGTGCACTTTATAAAGAGTTTTGAACAGATAAGACTTTTTTTTACTTTTTTCTGACCTCAGGAACGGATTAATTGGTTTTCAATGCATTTACGAATTAATTTTTAATCATATCCCTGTACAGTATTTATGCCTTCAAAACTCTTTATAAAGTGCACTTTAAACAGATAAAATACTTTTTTTTTTTTTTACTTTTTTCTGACCTCCAGAACAGATTACTGTAATTGGTTTTCAATGCATTCCTATGGGAAATCGCGTTTCGGTTTACGAATTTTTCGCAATACGAAAAATTCTGCATAACTAATTACATTCGTAAACCAAGGTACCCCTGTAATCAGTTTAAATAATAACAACTCCTTATGCATGAATTTCTTTAAACATATTATTTTACAACGTGGTAGTTATGACACGTTAATAAAATATAGTGCTGTTGCGTTTAGGAATAGATATTCATGCAACTTTGATAAGTATACGCTGCAATCCTAATTTGTGAACCAATAACACAAAAACAAAATACCCTGTGGAGCGCGCATAAATTGAGGGCATTAAATTTAACAATACATGAGTAATATTGCTTCACATAAACAAAGTGAATAATTGTAACATTCAGTCCCAATTCGGAAAAAATAAAGTGCCCAGGTGTTGATACTAATTGGTGAAATTTTTGCACGAAGACAACCCAATTAATTCCTCCAGGGTAAAAAAAAAAAAAAAAAAAAAAAAACATCACACACATTTGTTTTGTCCTTGAGCTATCAGAACAAAACTGCTTCAAATTTAAAACAACCCACAGCAAACCATAACCAAAACATTTCATCTGTGAGAAAGAATCCAGAAACCAAACATTTATGACCAGAAATCTCACAAAACATTTGGGATTGCCTGGAAATGTACGCTCGGTCTATTACACTGACCTTATATGGAAGTTTTCAAGCTTAAAAGTGGAATTTTAGTCAGAAAAAAGTAAGCCCTGCAAGATCACTTCATGCTAGCCCCAATAGCTATGTAAAATATTAAAAATAAACACCTATACTGTTTAAAATTCAGTAATACACTCTCTCACCCTGCTCTGCACATGCTCAGTTGCGCTCTATTTTGCCATACATTTAGGAGGTCAATCTGATGACAGTCTAAAGATTTACTGCTGCTCGGGGGCACTGGACTTCAGCAAAATGACAGCCTCCAGCAAGAAAAAAAAAATAGGAACAATGCTGGAGGATATTTACAGCACACACCAACTCTGGTAGCAGAATTATTAATATGGCATTTATGTTCCTTGCTATAGAACATTATTTTTTATCAAGTTGTTATGGGTAAAGGTACACTTTAAGTGCAAGCAAACAAGAAATCCAATTCCATATCATGCACCAGGGTAAAGCACACCTACCTGGAAAGATGTCGGGACACAGAACACATGCAGGTTCTCATTCTTCACCCTTTCAGCTAAAATACATAAATAAATAATAAAAAAAATGTACACCTGTACACAGATCACAAAAAATGGTAAGATTTCAAATGTAAAACACACCTAATCGATTGACTGCATGGACAATGGTAGAACCACTTCCAATACCAAGAACTTGATGATTCTAAAAATACAAAGAAAAACAAGTGGCAGTAATCAAAAAAAAAAAAAAAAAGATTTTTCTCAAGTAGACATGCAAACTTGTCTTTTATGTTTTGACATTTATCATCAGGAAACATTAGTAAAAAAATTGGTAACAGTAGCGGAACGTTATACCGTGATGGCCACCAACTAACGTTAGCCGGTTTAGCAGGGACTGGCTGAATTTTGATCCATGAGTGGTTGAATGGGCTTGTTGGAAAATGTTTCTTGATCAGAGGCTGTAGCTGCTGATCGTTGTATTCTGATAGGGGAGAGTTCCTGTTAGAATGCAGTCTCAGCAAGGAGGATTCCTTTATCAACGTCACAAAGTGATGGGAAAAGTGATGGCAACAGTCTTCTGGGATACCAAGTGTGTGCAGAAGACTGTTGTCATCGCTTTCCTTGCTGATGGAGCCTTCTTCCACTTTCAACTTGACTACGGAGGGTGCCAACAGTTTACACATGAAAACAATATAGTGTGTGCACAATATTCAGCGCTGAACATCTGGAAGAGTGACTTGGTGCAGTGATAATGTTTCATGTATGTGTGATCACTCCTTCCTTGTCAGGCCATGAACTTTTCAGACCACCCTTGTATTGGTGAGACATCTAATCGAAGTTCCCAGGTCTGTGGTGTGGCTATCAGGAGGGTTCCTCTGTACATGGTTACATTTTTATTTTATATGGTGGGGAACATAGCAAGAGGAGTTTCAACACTTCAAAGAGGAACGGAAGACTTAGAAGCCCGAAGCGGGCATGAGCAGAGTCAGGAACATAAGCAGAGAGATCTTTCTACTGAAACATCCAAGACATCATATGCAAGACACAAAAAAAATCATATCTGCATTGGGCATATGGTATGGCAGTGCTTTAGATGCCAACACTGCTTTGAATGAATCTTTGTTCAGCTGATCAGTTGCTACACGTCTCGTGTACCTAGGGAGTGACTGGGTTTACATTCCTGCATTGTATACGCTCTACAGTTCTTTCACCTGGCAGGTCAGATTGTGGTTAAAGTTAAAGTCGGCTTTTAAAGGGGTAAGTCATGTTTTCACACCTGATCTGCATTAAAAATTAGCCTCCTACTTTAGGCAATGTTGTTTTTATGTACCAGAGAGTGTAACACCAGTCAATTGCTGTCATGATTTTATTAACATCTCGGTACCAATTAGAAGATTGCCTTATAATTTCTGTTGTGGTGACTGTAATCTTCAAAAATGTTATGAAACACCGGACCCGGCGTTCACTATATCCGGCCGACCCGGACCCGGCGTTCACTATATCCGGCCGACCCGGACCCGGCGTTCACTATATCCGGCCGACCCGGACCCGGCGTTCACTATATCCGGCCTCCCGCAGTACACAGAACAAGGAAGTGCAATTATTTTAGTAAATATAAACTGCTAACTACCTCCGAGCCTGCAAGACCCCTGACCCTCTGTCTGGACAGTGCTGACTGGCCCTATGCTGATGACATGTACTCTCGCAAGACAAAAAAAAAAAAAAAAAAGAAACACCTCTCTAGCAAAACAAACTGGGCATGTGCAAGTTGCCCCCAAGGCTCTGTTCTATGTGGAGATGGACTGGAGACAGCAGGAGAAGTGGGGGTGAAATCAGAGAAGACAGGATCAAACATCCTTTTTACACAATACAGAGGATTAACCCTTAGGTTCCACAGTGTATATAATAAGCATGCTTTACTGCATATACAGACTGATTTTACTAGTGTGGGTTTAGTAACACTAAGAAATCTCTCCAAAAGGAGGTAACAATGACAGTTTACAAACTCTACCAGGATTTTTTTTTGCTGTCAGTCCCCGTTAGTGAGATTCCCTCCACATTTTTCAGCTAAAGCACCCCAAAAATAAATAATTTACAATACCTCGCACATATATTTAGGTTTGATTGAGCCATGGTTGCTTCTGCCTGTCTAATTATTTAAAGTATATGGCCCTTTCATGTACTTTTTTAGGGCCGCTATACTCGCCCTACATAGTTTCACTATAGGTCTAGTGTAGTCAGCCTCATCAGCTTGTAAGCAACTTCTTTGGGTTACCTGTGAAAAATCTACAACAATGCGTAGTAATTTAGCAGACTTTCCCAAAGGTTTGGAAGGGGTTAAGGTTACCTACTCCCTGGTTTTCAAGGTCCTGCAGAATGAAATAAACACAAGAAGCGCACCAGCCTTGCGCATTGCCTCAGTAACCAAAATTTATTACTTGTAAAAAAATTATACTCACAAACAGCGAATAAAATCAAGCATATAAGTCCCACCTCACAGGGACTTGAAGAGATAAGGACTGAGTCCACATCAGGGGAATGGGTGTTCAGTACAGCTGACGCGTTTCGAAGGGGGTCCCTTCTTCCTCAGACCTGTCTGAGTCCCAGAGCGCAGGAGAATTCTTTTTCGATTTTCAAGGTCCTGCCTTTTGCCTGGGGAATAAGTACAAGGGGAGGTAACATTTCTGGGCTCTTTGCCTTTACATGGGAATGGGCATAAGAGGTGCTGCATGATGTGAGCTCAACGTAGGGTTGTCTTCCCACCTCCCTTGAAAGGGTACCCAGTTGGGCTGCTGAAGAGGACTAAGGACTGTATGGACTTGCACTACTTTGAGGTATGGAATGACAGCCAGAATAGGAACAGCCTAGATGGGGAACACAGAGAGAGGAAACTTGTTCCTGTATTGAAATACAATACTACACGTCAACGCAGTCAGCGCTGGCTGATATAACCTCCTCCATGATGATTCCTTCACAGCACCATCCACTGCAAATGCCCTTTCATGGCAGAAGGTTTTTAGGGCTTTGTGAAAAATGAATTAGCAAAATGGGGGAAAAAAAAAAAAAAAAAAAAAAACAACACACCTTTTGTTCAGGAGAATAAATAAAAAGGTGGGCATATTATCCAACATACACATTTGTTTTTTTATGAGGGTTAATAAACCCTGTATGCAAGCTCATTCAGGAGAATAAATAAAAAGGTGGGCATGTTATCCAAAATACATATTTTTTTTTTTATAAGGGTTAAATTACCACTATGCTGCTCAATTAACCCTGTATGAATCTTATCCCTTAGGCCTGGTTCACACAGCTATGCAGTTTGCTTTTGATCCATTTCTGCAGTGCATTTTGGAACATCAGCATTTTTGACACTTACCTGCATTCTTCTTGATGCATTTCCGCAAACGCCCAGCCGGCGTTTGCGGTTGCGAATGCTTTTTTTTGGGTCCAAATTTATAGGCGTTTGTGGGGCAGATTAACAAAAAGCAAAACGCATCAAAAAACAGACTACATGCTTTTCTGCAGTGTCTTCATTGAAGCCTATTGAACCGTTAAAAACATACCATTTTGCATTTAAAAAACGCTTCCTGGGGCCTTTCCAGGCAAGCAGTAGTTGAAAAAAGCAGTGTGAGATGTGAATGTGTCCCATGGGAAACCATGTTAAATGGGCTCCTGCTGTCTAGCTCCCTTGTCTCCTCCTACCATGCTTCATCTCCAGGACTTCTCCAGAGCCTCTCCCATTCTCTGGAACGATCTACCCCAATCTGTCTGACTATCTCCCCAATCTGTCTGACTATCCTGCTCTGGCAGATTTTAGGCAATCCCTGAAAAACTCTCTCTCTTCAGGGAGGTCTATCTTGCCCTCAACTAATAATAATAATGTTCTATTTTCATCAGTTATTACCTTTTGTTCCACAAGACCCTCCCTATTAGATTGTATAAGCTCCAAGGATCAGGGCCCTCCTAACCCTCTTGTATTGAACTGTATTGTTGCTGTATTGTCTCCCTTCATATTGTAAAGCACTGAGCAAACTGTTGGCACTATATAAATCCTGTATAATAATAGTGAGTTTGTGCAGTTTCTGCAAAAAGCACCAAAAAAAAAAAACCCCCAAAAAACATACACAAGTGCGGACCAGGCCTTAGAAGTTAGAAAAATGATTCTGCTACAACTAATGTGCTGGAATACCCTGCTTTAATAAACAGAAGGAAAGATTGCAGTATTTAGGGGAGTTTTTTGATTGTCTGTCATGGATTATCATGTTTTTTTGTGTGGCAATGTCAAGTGTGACAAGCCCTATTGTTGACTGTTGGATAAAGTATTTCAGCAGAGAAGTTTCCTTTAAGATTTTTAAAAGCATTAAGTATTGATGGTTATAAAGACTATGACACTTCAGAACACACCTTAACGTGATTGTCCACAGCAGCACATCCCGCCAGTCTCTTGGCCTCTTCTGTCATCCTGCAGATGGTAGTGATCAGCCGACGCTGGAACATACAGGTGTCACCAGGGGATCTGATCGCAGGATGTTACAACTGCCCTGGAGACAGAACATGAGAATGATGACTACAATAATGAGCTCTTCCCTGTCGTCTGTTAGCTTCCTGTATTAGCAGTGAATTCTTTATCTGAGTTCCTGATCATGTTTGGATACACCCTTATGTATTACAAGCGTGCACTTGGCTGAGATTCGGATTGGTCACCTCCACTCTGCTACTCAGATACACTATATTGTGTTGGGTCCACCCTCCAAATCATTGAATTCAGATGTTCCAATCACCTCCATGGACACAGGTGTATACAGTCAAGCCCCTAGGCATGCAGACTGCTTCTACAAACATTTGTGAAAGAATGGGTCGCTCTCAGGAGCTCAGTGACACCAAGCGTGGTCCCGTGATAGGTTGCCACCTGTGCAATAAGTCCATCCGTGACATTTTCTGGCTACTAAATATTCCACGATCAACTGTTAGTGGTATTATAACAAAGTGGAAGCCACTGGGAACAACAGCAATTCAGCGCCATGAAGTGGTAGGTCACGTCAATGACAGAGTGGGGTCAGCGCATGCTGAAGCACACAGTGCACAGAAGTCACCAACTCTTTGCAGAGTCAATAGCTAAAGACCTCCAAACTTCGTGTGGCCTTCAGATTAACACAACAGCGCAGAGAGAGCAGAGTACAAGCTTGACACTTGTTAGTCTGA